GCTGAAGTCAACAATAGTTTCATCTCAGACTTGAATGGGAAAAAGCAGACATCATATGAATGGAACATATGCATAAATCTAGAATTTGAACATTCAGAAACAGATTTGGAAATTAACTCCATGCCATCTAGCCTTATGAAGACAGAAGGCAAATAATTTCAAATATGTTCAGGATCCATTTCTCACAATTCTCTCTGCTGGATCCCATTCCAGCAGGTTGTTTAACAGTAGGCAAGCATATAAGTTGCAGTAGGTCAAAGATGAAGAGTTCCCACAAATGGATGTAATCCAAAGCAGGACAATCAGGTGTTTCATCATCCAGTACACACTCTAGATGCCCTCAGTTGCTCATTTTCAACATATGAATGACACAGTTTTGCAGTGAAGGCACTGAAAGATATAAGAATCTCAGCTTCTGGTGTGTAGGGATTTATTAACTGCACTATGTAAAGCTGTACCTCACTGAACTGAATTTGCCCTCCTTTACCTCTGATCTGTCAATTTTCTTTTTACACTCTAGTGAAAAATACTTTAATCTCTGACAGTTTCTCCTTACAAATATTTTCATTAACTATAATCAAGCTACCTCTTGAACATATTTTACAACACACAAAAAGACTGAACTGTTGGATCTTTTTATCATATAATATGTTCTTTAGCTTTTTCAGTAATTTATGTAGTTCCTTCATTTAACCCTCTGAATTTTTAAAATATGCTCTTAAATATGTCAAAAGCAAAAGACATCACTGTGCAGAACTGGAAGCTTTACACTCTTCTGCTGAAAATTTAAGCATCTAAACGAATCCTGAGAAATTATATTTATTCATAGTACTATTGCTGGTACCAGTAACAGATTTTATTGGTGTTATCTTGAACTATCAAATTGAGGCCTCTACATGGGGATCAAAAAAGAATTAAAAAATTGCAGAAAAGCTGTATACTACCTAGTGGTATAAAAAACAGTTTCAAAGAGATTTATGTTAAAAAAAACCTCAGTTGGGAGCAAAATACGAATAGATTTCACTTGTTCCCTACCAAGTATTTACATATATGATTCCTTTACATAGTCAAGATTAATTACCTTTATTTCAACGATATAGATAATCACTGAGAGAGATTTATGAAGATTTTTTTCATTTCCTACCATAAAACTACAAGGGCAATTATGTAATGAATTTCTACAGGCTAAGACTTCACTTTCAACAACTTGACTAAGAAACTGTACAAACATCAATAATTCAATATACACAGGGTGCAGGATTTAGATAAAACTTTTAAGGCTTTTTATTGACTTACCTAATTCATCAAAGTACGTTTCTGTTCCATCTTCATCCATTACTGAGCACACAAGTCTTGCTTTCAAAAATGTTGTCCACTTGTTCACAAGACTACGTTGACCACCTGTGTCATTCTAGAAAGGAATATTATTTTCAGAAATAAAATAAATACAACACAGCTAACATTTTACTGGGCTTTCCCTCACTTCCCTCAGGTTAATTTGACTCATCATCTAGACAACCATGCTGTTATATTCAATATAAAAACCAAATAAGCCTAAACTAAGTTCCCTCATCTAATCACTCCAGACACAGGAAAAACAAGAGCTAGTCTTCTGAGCAGATATTCTGTGCTGGGGTAGCAGGCTTGGGAGGGTTGGGCAGTAGATGTGGAGGTATTGTGTGTAGGTATGATTGGAAAAGCTGTGGAGGTCTGTCTTGCTCCCTGACACCTAATGCAGGGAAGTCCATGCTACCTCTAAAAAGTCTAAGAGGCCTATGGAAGAACATTTCTTCTAATCCTGAGAGCAGTACAGCTGCATCTGACCTCGTAAGCCATGTTGGCCCATGAGATGAACACTCTGAAGTAAGTTCAGGAACGGTGGCTAGCATGGGTCAAGCTACTTTTGCACTGTTGCAAATTCTGCTAGCTTGGTCCAGAGCTGGCTTGGTCACAGCTTGCTCAAGAATCTCTCCATCTCTCTCTAGTGCAAGGTAGAAACAGTAACTGGTAAGTCAGATGGTACAGTTCCTGCCTCATTCTGCCAGTGAACACCTTGGGTAAGAGCAGTACCTTCCAAAATGCATAGCATAATGCCCACCAAGGAAAGGGAAAAAGGAAATGAAGATGCTAGGCAAACATGATTTTCCTGAAATACTGTGCAGGTTTCACTGGTGCTGCTGGAGCTGGTAATTAGAACTTCTGGGTGACCCATAAGGGGTATTTTGTAGTGGTACCTCTTGGCATCATTGTACTAATATATTTGGCCAGTCTCAAAGGCCTTGAATATGACAGTATGTAAACACACAAACACTTAGATTTATTTTCATTGGCTTTAGGATTCTGCCACTGACTTCACTGTGAGTTGAAACAGGCTGACACCTTTCAGAAATCATCTGGGCCTCATTATACAGTAACAATAACAAGTACAGCTATACTTGTGTGAAACATCTTTTTGCAAAATACTTAAAAAGGCCTTTGGGCACCCCCACAAAAAAAAAAAAAAAGAAAACAGAGATTGTAAAAGAGATCACATGCCTCATCCAGTTGATAGAGGAGTTTTAATAGGATCCCAGACATGCCCTGACACCCATGCACAACATCACCAGCATCATATTCTAAAGAAGACCCAGACAAGGAATATATAAACACTCACAATTATCTTCCTGAACCTTTCCAAAAGAAGGAACTAAAAGTCTAGCAGTAATTGTGAATTTATAATTCTGCCCTCATTTTAAAAAATCTATTTCAGTGGAGATATTAATAGCTGCTTCAATCATTATTCATCTACAGTTAATTGTAGATATGAAAAAGGAAATAGAGACACTGAGGAAAACTACGATTGTAAACTAATTACTGCACAGGAGTTGCCATATTCTTGACTTTAATTTTTGTTTCTATGTTTTTAAAGTTAGGCTTACATGTACATCAATGTGATAACTCAGAAAAGGACAGATATTGTTAAAATGCAAACAATATTTGAAAATCAAATCAACCCATTTAAAAGCTTGGCTCTGATATTTCCAATGTGTTTAAAAGACTTTGAGAATGTCTGTGTGTGTGTGAAAGACTTCACTGTCTTATAATTCAATTTTCTAAGCAAAGAATGTACCTCCTTTGTGCACAGGACAGCAAGTTTGGAAATTCAACACTGGAAAGTATTCTGAGTCAGAGAAATACACACATTTCTGACTCTCTAAGTTTTTGTATCATTATAGATATAGCCATATATACCTAACATGTTTAGACGCTAACTGTGTGTTCAGTAACAGCTCTTATTAATTATAAATGTGGAAGCTGAAACAGGAAATTTATTTTGAATATAAATCAAAGGCATTTCAATAATTTAGTCTTTTAACTTATCATGTCACACTAGCAGCTTGTCCCAACAACCTGGCAAACAAAATAGTTCTTACTGGGCATATTCTTGCAATCATTGAATGAATTTGCTTTGTGCTGCCACTGTTGTCTGTGAGTCTCTCTTTGAAGAAGAAGTAGATTTTGGCATCGTTGGGGTCAGTGCCATCTGGGATAACATGAGCATCCACAAAAATAGGCTCTGAAATGAAACAGTGTACCAAGAAGTTGAAACCAAGAGATTTATCAGTATAAGCAAATAATGGTTTGACAGTTACCGCCTGTTTCAAGGAAATGCTTTATAATGCATGTAGATGTACTATTGTGGCTATCTGCCCAACCTCATGTGTGGATACACCAGATACCACCAGGCAAACGGCTCTTCACTGGCAGCCTTAAATTTCTGCATCCTCACATTTTCTCCCACAGAAGATTTTTAGAAAAGCAATTGCAATACAGAATCAATAGTATTAGATAACTGCAGAGGTTCAAAAGACTTGGTGGGAAAGGGAAGAATCATTGTGTTAACAGGGGCACTTCAGGAAAGACTCACTGAGGAAAAACTTAAAAGTAATTTGCTAAGAGACTCTTTAGGAAAAGAACAACTAAGGTACTTTGAAAAAAGTATAAATCAGAGAAGAAACTAGCTGTTGGAATGCTGAAAAAGGAAAGCAGAATATGCAAATGCTTGAGCAGCATTTGAGTTCATATCAGAGGTTGATAAACATACCAAACACAATGAATTAGTGTAATGCAAACTGCAATGTAATTTAAAATATACATTATGATACACAACTGACTGTGCACTAATTTCTTGCAATCCCTTATTAGGCAACCACTATTGGTGTTGGTATCTGCATAACACATGATTTGGCAATTTCCTTAGCTAAAATATAATGGGCAGTGGAAAAAAGTCTTCAGAAAAGCTCCCTTGTCTCAAGGAAGCAGGTTTCTGTATGAAGGCTATATCTTTTCAAGGATCAGACAAGATTGCCTGATTGAAATGAAGTAGATATCTTGAAAAAAATCTGGTAGAAAGGTTGTATCTCTGACAAAAAACTCACTTTAGACTGCAGCTTTTTTGTATTCACATGAACCTATTCTCAATTTATATAATACGTGTCATGGCTCTGGTTCTAATAGAATATGAAAACAAATGGTGCTTGTGAAGTATTTGTCCTGAGCTTTTGTAACAGGTACATTTTCCAGGTATTAGGCACTTTAATGGTTCTTTTTCCCTAATTCACTTTAGGGTGTACACTTCAGGGAGTGCAGGTAAGTGTAAGAAGGTATAGCAAACAAGAAAAATTTAGAAAGCAGACATAGTTTTTCACTACTAGTGAATTTAATTTATTCTGATTGCAGTCCTGTGATTTCACTGCAGTCACAGCCACACAGGAATAACAAGAAAAAAACACAGCAACTTTACTTCAATATACCTAAAGGATTTTTTTCAATTGGAACTACTTTGTTAATTGCTCTATAATCTTTTATCTCTGTCTCTGTTCAGAGACCACCATTTTAATTCAAAATAGTGTAATTGGAAGGAGTCTTCTTATCAGTAAAGTCAGGGAGAATTTTCACATTGATTTCAGTGAAATCAAGAGTTAAGTGCTTGCACTCAGAAATTAGTTTTCCTACTGTGTTTTGATAATCGGTTTGTTGCCACTGAAATAAATGGCAATGACTGTCACTGACTTCTCTGCTAATGGAACTCTGTTCTGCATGCATCTTGAATGCAAGTGGTGGTGAGTCTTCTGTACAGAGGTGGATCAGCCTGAATCAATTGAAGCTGCAATTCATTATAAAAAAACTTAGAATCAAGGACTCTAATTTAAGGCAATGTCTGATGAATTAAAGGTGGACAAAGCACTTCCCTGGAAGTCCGACTGTCTGACAACTTGCCATTTGAAAAGTTTTCATACACTTTCCCTTGAACGGCTTGGTTCAATACTAATCCAAAAAAGGCCATCAGGTGGTCTGGCCTAAAAGGCTGGTTCATGCAGTGAACCCTTTATTGTGCATTGTCTACAATATGTTTTTACACATATTTCTTCATTGTTCAACTTAATAAATTAAATTCAGAGAAAAGCTCTTTAAAATACAAACTCCTTATTTTAAACTAAACAAAGCTGAATCTCCGTGGAACCCACTAAAAGCTCTGGTAAAACAAAGGCATCTCACCACTCAGCCACTTGGAGTTGTGCTGGTCAGTTCTCACTGCATTCCTCCTGGTCAGACTCCGAAAAATGGCAGCATCCGTACCCATGAAATCAATATACATCCCTGAAAAAAGCTCTTCATCTGCAATGAATTGATATGGAGGAGAAAAAGAGAATGCATTATTATGTTTCTTCTGAAATTTATAGTTATTCATCTATTTTTATTTTAAACTCATCAGCTCTTTGTTTACAGATAAATATTGGGTCCTGGGCATGGGGTTCCCCTTTGATTTACAAAGATGAAATCTGGAATGCACGAGAATCATCACATTTCTCTTAAAGACTTTGGGGAACTGCATAATTAAATGCAACAGCAGAACTGCATATTACAAAGTTCTGTTGCTCAACTTTCATTGCTAAGGATCACTGGAAAATCAGACTAATGTTATCAAAAAGAATCACATTCAATTTTTTAAGTACATACTTCAAAAAGCTTTTTCTTGCTGTGGGAGTAGACAAAATGACCAGGCTGAATTTATTGCTGATGTAAACTGGCACAACATCTGTTGCAGTCAATGGATTGGTGCCAATTTTTACCAAAAGTATTGTCATGGCTGCCCCAGGCAGCCTCAAGCTGACTTCAGAATTGCAGAGGCCAGACAATCATATTATTGAACTTTAAACAGAATAATATGGAGCTACAATTGTCCCCTTTTATGTATTTGATTCTAAGTATAGGGTCATTATGCTTGAAGAGAATTAGACACGCAACTCTTACATTAACAGAACTATGAACTTCTGCTCCCTGTGCAGGGCTGAGAACTCAGTTCATCAGTCAGGATATCTATCTGTGTTTGTGTGAGTCTGTGTGTGTGCATAAATATATGTATATATAATTATCATTCTAATTACAAATACTATCATTTTCTACTCCATGAATAACCAAGCAATTTCCACTGACTAATGACATTGAAACCCCAGAGTAGAAAACAGTAGCTAAAATAAACTGTAACTCTCAGAGTGGGAGTGGTGGCTGAATACATTCCAGTACAGCTGGGCCCTTTGATTGATGTTTTTGTCTGGATTCCTGGACTACCCAGAGAGTGTGGTCAAGCTGGCAAGAGCCACAGGTTCAGAAGCCCTTGAGGCTATTTTTATGATCTGTGTGTGTGCATCAATATGGAAGACTATTGGCTCATGAGAGAAATAAAACTCTGGAGATTTTGTTTTCTGCTGCTTTTTAGAGCCTGAACTGAACCCCTGCAGAACAGCCAGCAGCCACTCTTCTCTCATCTCTCCCAGTGATGACAAGATTCACACACAGGGGATTTCAACAATGCATTTGCTGCATGTTTGTGAGGCAATACTTCCTGAGCATGTCTTGACAGAAACACATTAGATCTATACTGATTTATAAATGATTTTGGATATTGGCCTCATTGCTTCAATCTGTCAGAGCTTTACTCTTATTATAAAATAAATTGGCTGAAAAAGATCAGGCTTATGGTTGTCCCTAAATGTTAAGTACAGTCCTGTGCATACGCACATGCACATACAGTTTAACAATAGTACTACACCATGTAAACTTAATCCTATTACATATCAACTCTATTATTTATGTTTTAAGCATTCCTAGTGTCTACTTGCTAATCATGTGTCAGATTATATCTGTCAGCTCCACTTCCTTTAGGTTAAATTCTTAAATTCTGCACAGCACAACTAGTTCACACTGCTTCTCTTTGTTATTGGGGGAACTAATTAATTGATGATGTATGTCTGCTTTTATCTCACAGTCTTGGTGGGGAGAGACACATGCATCCTGCACAGTAGTTATGCCAAGCTTTTTCAAAAGGCATTTTTCATTGTTTTGATGCAAAAGTGTCTTTGTATAATAGCAAATTGTACCAAGTTCAAATTTGGTTTCATAGCATCACTTTCCTCTGAGGGGTGAACCAGCTTTCCTGTTGCATTCTAGGCTGGTGATACCCAAAACTGTCAAGAAATTGCAGCTGTATTTAAAAATGGTTCTTTTGTTGTGGAAGAGTTATCTGGTCTGGCAGTATTTCCTGTCTTCTGAGGGGAGGAGAAGGAATTCCTCCTGCAGAAGAACACTCAAAGGAGATTCTAGTACATGGGCTCAGTCCTTGCATTTTAACTCAAGTTGTAATTTATAAAATCTTCTGTTTTCCAGCAGGGATATCGAGGCTAAATTCATTCAAGCCTAAAATTTTGAAGTGACTGGACTTTGTAGAAACAGGGAGAAAGCATAAAAGTCTGTGGGACTCTTCTGAAAAAGAGTGTGACTTTTGTGGAATAATTTAAGTTTTCCAGATGAATAATATAATGAAAGATAAGTCAAATACCAGAGTAGGACCCTTCAGTCACCTAATTGAGACATGAGAGAAGATAAAACAAAGTCTACTAAGATGAACAAAGCTGCCATAGAACTTTTGTCGAAAATAAACAGTTTACTCTATATACAGTAATTCAGGAACAATGTACTTTAATTGTGTTTCATCAAATCTGGAAGGGGCAGGGAAAGGAAACTTTATTTTTTTAATGACAGTTGATTAACTCAATACCGGAAGAGTAATGAATAGCAGTGGATTAACCCATCACTGACTTTGAACATTTTCTTTGCACACAGTGTCTGTAAACACTGACCATAGAACACCAATGAGATAAAGATAAAAGTGCATCCAAGGTTCAGAGGTATCTAGGTAGCATTTACCTGTCTTCTTGAGGTGTTTTCAGTTCAGTACATCTGTGCACCAAGTTTTATTTCCTAAGAAAACCTGACAAATTTGGGCAAATGCTGTTCCCTTCATAGCCAAAAATGTAGCAAGGAGTAGACACACATTAAAAAATCAAGGCTTTGGCACTAGAAGTCTGTAAACGTCCTGCAAATGTGATAGGTCGGGTTACACTAAGTCTATATAATGTGCCTCCTAGTAGGAAAGAAAATACGAAAACAACAAAAAAGGGATTCTTTCACTGATGACTTAGGTTGCACAAAGCCTATGCCCCCTTTGAGTTTTCACTTAGATACACAGTAGGCACTTCAGTAATTCATTGCATGGCGTATATCTCACAGTCACTTAAGTACAGTCGCCACTAATTCACAATAATCTTTGTGTCAGTTGTACCACTTTCTGGCCATTCAAATGGAGGAAAATTGCAAAATGGGTTGGGTATAAAGCCAATTGAAAAATGAAGAGCCTTGCAATAACTAGTGGGCCCTACGGCAGAGTTGACAACAAAAATGAAATTAAAGTAACTGAAGTCTTCAGGCTTTCTTTCCCTTGCTACTCTGAGATTTTACAAATAATTGAATGAGACAGAAGTGCTGTCTAGATGAACAAGGTCAGAAATTGTTCAAACATAAAATGCTAGACAGGGTAATACAAATTTGAAACTAACCCTGGGAAAAAATGAGTAAGCTGGAAAAGGGACTATCTTTTATTCTTTTCAACAGCTTATTTCTGCATTTTATTTGTACACCCACTTTTTATGTAAACCTTGAAACAAGGATGGACCCAACCTTTGTGCCCATTAGGCAGACACAAGGTGCTGCTCCTTGGAGGCTGAATTCTGTGTCCAGCTGATTTCAGGCATCCCATCAGTCCATACCACACATGATTGTATGGGTTTAGACCTCAGCAACTTGGCGTATTTTTACTTACTGATCATGACAGACACCGTGTTCACATTAGGGTTGAAAGAACAGCGTCCCTTTCCTGATTCACACTTGGAGTCGATCTTGAAGATTTGTTCCTGCAATGTAGATTTGTGTGTCACTTCTCATTTCAGAAACCATCAGATGTAAATTGATTTTTATGCTTGGCTGTTTCCAGCATTAACAACGCTCAGCATTCCTGGTCACTTTTGCTGCACTTTCAGCAGTTTAGCTTTCCTACTCAGAATTTCATCACATTTCTAGACAATTTTTTCATTGGTACCCAGTTTTTTCAAGACTCTTGTTATAAGGGACCTTGACAGGCTAGAGAGATGGGCCAGTTCCAACCTCATGAAGTTCAACAAGGCCAACTGCAGGGTCCTGCACCTGGGGCGGTGCAACCCCAGGCACAAATACAGGCTGGGGGAAGAATGGCTGGAGAGCAGTCCTGAAAAAAAGGACTTGGGGGGGCTAGGTGATGAGAAGCTCGACATGAGCTGCCAGTGTGAACTGGAGCCCAGAGAGGAACTGCATCCTGGGCTGCATCAAAAGAAGTGCAGCTAGGAGAGCCAGGGAGGTGATTCTGCCCCTCTACTCTGCTCTGGTCAGACCTCACCTGGAGTACTGTGTACAGTTCTGGTACCCTCAGCACAAGAAAGATATAGACCTGTTGGAGAGGGTCCAGAGAAGGGCCACCAAGATGATCAAAGGCCTGGAGCACCTCTGCTATGAAGACAAGCTGAGGCAGTTGGGGCTGTTCAGCCTGGAGAAGAGAAGGCTCTGGGGAGACCTTGTAGCAGCCTTCCAGTGGGCTACAGGAAAGCTGGGGAGGGGCTTTTCACCAGAGAAAATAGTGACAGGACAAAGGGTAATGGTTTTAAATGGAGAGAGGGGAGATTTAGGTTAGATATTAGGAAGAAATTCTTCACTATAAAGGTGGTGAGGAACTGGAATGGGTTGCCCAGGCAGGTTGTTGATGCCCCATCCGTGGAGGTTTTTAAGGCCAGGCTGGATGAGGTTTTGTGCAATCTGATCTAGTGGTAGGGTTCCCTGCTCATGGCAGGGGGGTTGGAACATGATGATCTTTAAGGTCCCCTCCAACCTTAATGATTCTATGATTCTGTGATTCTAAATTCAGGACACTGAAATGAATAATTTTTCCCTCTAGCTCAGTTATTCTTTTGACTTATCTCTGCAGTACCATTTGTAGAGATTACTTCTGTGTTTTTGAAGTTATTTATCCTTTATTTGCTTAATACATGGTGGTAATTACACAAGTCCAGAACATTACTACTAAAACAATAATAAATATTAACTAAAAACATTGCAACTGTAATTTGGTGATAGTATAAAACATTTGTTCTTTACTGATGTATCAGACCTACAAAAATCCCCCAAATCATGCTTATTTTCATCAATACTATCTATTGGATTGTGTGTAGAGCTCCAGTTGCACAGTAATAGATGATTTATCAATACCTTTTGCAATAGCCTGAAATCTCTTGGACATATTTTGGTGTTTAGGGTATAGGACTTTTTTATATTTTATGTGATTTGTAAATAGGAAATATAATTGGCAAAGTAGAAGCAACCTGGACTACAGCTTGAAATACAGTCTGAATATATTTAGAAAAATTCATGCATCTCAGTGCACTTCTTTGTTCCCACCAAGACTGAAGAGCACAATATGCTGAGCAAGCAGGGACTCTTGGGTCCAAGCCCATTCCTTGAAAACTGCCATCAGTAACGGCTGAGACATCAATTGAGACCACACTGATTTGTATACCAAACCAACAACTTGCTCCTAGCATCCCATAACCCTTCCAATCTTTAATAACACACCAAAACACACAATTCTGAGGAAAAAAAACACCCAAACTTAAAATGTTTCTGTTTCAACAGAAAAAGGTAGCTGACAAAAATTCCAAAGAAAGGCTTCTGTGATGTAGATGCCAATGTACTACTTATTCATCTAAGGGCAGGAACTCTTTATATTCCCTTTAGCAATTAATGTAAATCACAGGGGAAGGGGATGCCACACAGATGACTGAGCAGCCATTTGGCAACAGCAAATTGGAGACTCCACAAAAAGTGCACAGCTACAGGAGGAAGTTTTCATATCCATTATCCCCTATCTCTTTTCCCTCTGTTTTGTTTTCCCTAATTTAATCATAGAGATCGTATCTATTGTTTCAGTAATAAGCTTTTTAAACAACCTTAAAACATAAGTATGAAGTTTCTAATACGATCTTGGGGTTTTGGTTTTATTTGTTGTTTTACTTCTAGATTAACATGCAGCTTGATGTTAATCTAAGTTTACTAGTTATACCACTATTTATCAATTCAAAATGCCCATAACTGCACTATTAAACCAGGATTAGACTTGATTTTCATATATATTAAACTACTTTTTAGTCTATAATTAACTCACATAGTGATTAAATTTCCTCCTATTACATTTATTTTGACATTAGAATATATTTGAGTGACTAAGAGAGTCATTACCAAAGACCAAAGTATGAAGTGTGCCAAGCAAGAAAATTAATTCATTTTTAACCCCTGTTTTGGGGAAAAGGGAACATTGTACCTCATGAATGAAACTTCCTTTTTTTTTGTGAGATTATATGGAATCTGGAGACAAAAGAGCAAAACAGGCTCTGTTCTTATGATTGTTGGTTAGGACTCTCAGTGTTAGGCTTTGTAGCTTCTACCAAAAAACAGATGTTCTTTCTAAAATATCCATCTTACACAAGCAAAAACAGCCTTCTGTGAATGGAAAACTGTACTAAATCAAAGGTGGAAATGATAAAAGCAAAGAAAAAAATGAGTTCTCACTAGTCCCACCAGCACTACATAGTTTTTCATTGTGCTCTGTTACTTAGTCATACACTGATATATGCAGTAAGTTCAGAAGGAAATGCTTGGTTTTAAACTGTTATGCTATTGTTGGCCTGTACAGTAATGGCTTTGAGCTTGTGATGCCTACAATGAAGTGTCTGACAGACTCCAGACGTCTGAAACAGCAGTTTATTTAATCTATTGATCATAGGCATGCAGCTATACAGTCAGTTCTGCTCTTCCAAGACATGTATATTTTTAACTTAAGAAATTTAACATCTTGCATCATCTGGAAATGTCGTTTCCCACCCATCCCTTCTCTCCCCTCAACCTCATTTACAAAATCTCTAAAATAATGATATTTCGAGTTCTCTGGGCTGCAGTACTACTACTTAAGCAGATAAAGGAAAATTGCATTAATTACAGACAAATGAGATCACTTTTCATATTTTAAATTATTTGTCAAGAAATAGGATAATGCTGAGGAAAGCTGACCACAGTTTCAAAATATATCAAAATAAGTCAATGCAGACTCCATTAAGCAGAAAAAATGATTTACTATTCAGTCCTGTTTGCTTGGGCTTTTATAACCAGGCTATGAACCTCTTATTTTAGAGAATTAATTAGAACTGAAGGTGCAGTGATGCAGATTACATACTTTGTTAGGGAGGCTGGAGCCAGGTATGGATCTACCAAAGTCACCGAGTTCATTCCATGCAAACTTACCTGGAGAAACAATCATTTATCACCTCCTTGGCAACCTCTGCAGTAGCCCTGGGTCTTGGCCAGAATTCCCATCTTACTCGCAATGAAATCAGTGATGAATTTCCCAGTCTTTTCCCTAGGAGTCAGCCCAGTTTTTAAAGCTGCCCTTACATGGCAAAACTCCAGGTAGCACACTCTGATCTTCCTTCCGAACACATCTGCTTCCATATTGTACAGGAAAATATATTGCACATCCCTGTGCCTGCAGACATGAATCTGACCCAAAAGCTACTGAGGTGCTGGATCTTGGTTAAGCACTTTTCTTTCTCCTTCTGGTTGCTTAATTTATTACGTTTGCACATAAACAAACATTTAACTTTCAAATCAGGAAACTTGGACAATATTCTTATGAAACAACTGGTACTTTGTATATTGAAAATTGAATCTAGGAAAACTGGACACCTATCTAAAGAAAATAAGATGTACATCTTGGAAGATCCCACAGTGATGAGAAAGTTTGACAGACTTCATCCTAGCAGAACCTACTGGGGCAAAACTTGAGCAGTTAGAGTTACCTTTACTGGGAATGTGAAGAGTTAGTCCACTTAAGGGCTTCTCCCAGGACTCAGTAACTGATGGGAATTATAAAAAGCGGATTGCACATTTCACTTTTTATTTAACTGGCCATCTCCTTTTAAGTATTTCCTGATAATTTTTCCAACACATACCAGGAATAAAATCACAAACAATGTCAAATAAAAAGTAGCATCAAATGTAGCCCAGAATTTTTTACGACTGTGGGATTTTGGACAACCATCAAATTTGAGGCATGGCTTTTGATCATGGTTTTGTTTCTTGCTCATAATAGGTCAGAAAAGGATGCATCTTTGTTCTTTTTCTATTTGACATGGGTGAAGGAACCTATTTGATCATTGTTTTTTGCATTTTCAAAATTTAGAGCTTTGCATAACACAGGCAAGATGAGTGGATAAAATGGAACAGGACGTACCTCAGACCTGCGCCCTCTGTTCACGTACACACACACGGGGCTGAAGGCGCCACTGCCACAAACGTACAGGTGGGTGCGATTGTACGACTGGATCACACGCACAAAATTTCCACAGCCATGCTGCAGGAAAGCCAGGGAAAAAAATAATTCACATTGGCTAGTATTATTAGATGTTGGGAACTCTAGGTAATACAGACTATTAATAATTTTAGTAATATCATGGAAACAACTGATGAGTCTCTGTCTCTGGATTTGAACAGCTGTGGTCTTCTGTTTTCTTTTCATGCCATTTTGCCTAGTCTGGGAACTGGGCATTAATAGGGCACTAGAGAAGAGTTACAGAGAAGTGTGTATAACTTCCCCATTACCACACAGCAATCTAATTTTCATCCACAGGCTTCTCTATACCTTACACAGGAAGAAGCAGGGTTTCTGCAGGAAAACAAGATGTAACCTTACAAAGTTTTCTTGAGAAGGGTACATTTAGATTAGACATTAGGAGGAAATTCTTCACTCTGAGCGTGCTGAGACTCTGCAACAGGTTGCCCAGGGAAGCTGTGGATGCCCATCCCTGTGAGTGTTGAAGGGCAGGTCGGATGGAGCTCTGAGCAACCTGATCTAGTGGTAGCTGTCTCTGCCAATGCAGGGGGTTTGACTCTAGATGATCTTTAATGTCCCTTCCAACCCAAACCATTTTATGATTCCTAAAGGACGCCTTCAAAACAATCTCTTTTTTCCCACTAATTTTTTCATCATAGCTGGAGGTAATTAAAGAACAAAGCAAGCTCAAATCTCAGGTCACATAATAAGTGCAAAAAATTTATTCATACTGAAGATCAACGGTAACACCTTCAATTCTGCATAAAAATTAAACCAGGAGTGCCACACATTTTCACACTATTGAATCATAGAATCACTAAGGTTGGAAGGGACCTTAAAGATCATCATGTTCCAACCCCCCTGCCATGAGCAGGGAACCCTACCACTAGATCAGATTGCACAAAACCTCATCCAACCTGGCCTTAAAAACCTCCATGGATGGGGCATCAACAACCTGCCTGGGCAACCCATTCCAGTTCTTCACCACCTTTATAGTGAAGAATTTCTTCCTAATATCTAACCTAAATCTCCCCTCTCTCCATTTAAAACCATTACCCCTTGTCCTGTCACTATTTTCTCTGGTGAAAAGCCCCTCCCCAGCTTTCCTGTAGCCTCTTTCAAGTACTGGAAGGCTGCTACAAGGTCTCCCCAGAGCCTTCTCTTCTCCAGGCTGAACAGCCCCAACTGCCTCAGCTTGTCTTCATAGCAGAGGTCCTCCAGGCCTTTGATCATCTTGGTGGCCCTTCTCACGAGACTGCCATAACTTCTCAAATATGACGGACAGAGGCTTAGCAATTTCATCCTCCAGCTCCCTCAGGACCCGTGGCTGAATCCCATCAGGTCCCATAGATTTATGCACCTTCAGGTTCTTTATGTGATCACAAACCTGCTCTATGCCTACAGCAGGGGTAATTCACTCTCCTAGTCCCTGCTTTCACCTGCTGTGGCCTTTGTGTTGATGTTGGAGCACTTGCCAGAGAAGACGGAAGCAAAGAAGTCATTGAGGACCTCAGACTTCTCAATATCCTGTGCTGTTATCTTGCCCGTTCCCTTCAGGAGTGGGCCTGCACTCTCCCTGGATGTCCTTTTCTCCCCAACATACCTAAAGAAGCTTTTCTTATTGTTCTTAACATCCCTGGCAAGATTTAATTCTATTAGGGATTTGGCTCTCCTAACCTGATCCTTATCTGTTTGGACAACCTCTCTGTTCCAGGATACCTGCCCTAGCTTCCACCCCCTGTATGCTTCCTTCTTAAGTTTGAGCTTTTCTAGGAGCTGCTTACTCATCCATGCCAGTCTCTTGGAGTTTCTACTTGACTTCCTCTTAGTTGGGATGCAAAGCTCTTGGGCCTGGAGAAGGTGATCCTTAAATATCAGCCAGCTTCCACGGGCCCCTCTTCTCTCCAGGATGTTATCTCAAGACATCCTCTTGAGCAGATCCCTGAAGAGGCTGAAATCTGCCCTTCTGAAGTCAAGGGTAGTAAGATTGCTGTAAGCCCTCCTTGCTGCTCTAAGGATCTTGAATTCCACCATTTCATGGTCACTACAACCTAGGCTGCCCTTGAGCTTAACATCCCTCATTAGCCCTTCCTTGCTCGTGAGGACAAGATCCAGCATATCACCCCTACTTGTTGGTTCCTCGATTACTTGGAAAAGGAAGTTATCACCCTTGCGCTCTAGGAATCTCCTGGATTATTTGCATTTAGCAGAGTTGTTCTTCTAACAGATGTCAGGGTGGTTGAAGTCTCCCATGAGGACCATGGCTTGTGAATGTGAAGCTGCTCCTATCTGTCTATATAGTGCCTCATCTATATTATCTTCCTGCTCAGGCGACCTGTAGCAACCCCCACCGTGATATCACCTTGTTTTTTCTTCCCCTGAATTTTAACCTGTAAGCTCTCTGTTGGCTCCTCATCTGTCCCTAGGGAGAGCTCCATGCAATCCAGCAGGTCTTTGACATACAAGGCAAAACCCCCACCCTGTCTCCCCTGTGTGTCCTTCCTAAAGGGTTTATAACCCTCCAGTCTGATGCTCCAGTCATAGGAGCCATCCCACCAGGTCTCAGTGATGGCAATGGGATCATACTCCTGCAGGGTCACCCTCATCCCTAATTCCTCTTGTTTACTCGCCATGCTGCATGCATTTGTACACAGGCATTTAAGCTGGGTCTCCAGTAAGGTTGCCTGACTAGCTGACCTCACCACCACACCACCCCTAGGCTCATCTGTAGAAAACCTGGCTTTATCCACCACCCCCTTCCAACCTAGTTTAAAGCTCTATCAATGAGTCCCACTAATTCCTGCCGTAGTACCCTTTTTCCCCTGTGGGACAGGGTCTTCCCGTCCAATTTTAGCAGGCCCGGTGTCCTGTAAACGAAACCATGATCAAAAAACCCAAAGTCCTGTTGGTAGCACCTGGTTTTACAGTTTTCTCCTTACAGCATGTACCTTTCTTTTCTTGCTCTTTCCGTTTTTGACTACGCACCTTGGTTTGAAAATAGATTTTTTTCTTAAAGTTTTTCTTACTAAGATCCCATAACTGCCTTCATATTCAATCATACAAACCTTCACTAAAGACAGTAAGAATTGCACGTGTTTTGTGAGTGCAGGACGGGAAACTGTGTCAACAGTCATATTAATGAAAATCAATGGAGTTAATCCTTGTTCAGCAGACTGAACAGTTTATTTATATGTAAAGGCATTCACAGTTTTGGTTCAGCATGAGCTGGTACCATACCACAACATCTAAAAACTGGTGTATAATTCAGAGTGATTCAGAGTAGTTCAGAGAAGTTTCTCTACAAGGAACACTGCATGTCTTCAGTTAAGTGTTAGTTCTAGCTATATCAGAAAAATCCTTCAGCCTAGTCAAAATACATTTTTTTCTCTAAAGCTGAGGGCTGTTCCTAAATGTTTTCATTTTCTAATATCCAGCTATCTTAGTTTGGCTCAAAAGCGGCTTTAGTAATGTCTTGCTATCAAAATCATGTTTTGCTCACCAGTACCACCAATCCACATTGCAGCTGTGGAAAGGGAAGGAATACAGGTGAAGGTATGCCACTAGCGTGTATCTGCCAAGTGTAAACTGCTGCTTTCTTTTCTTGCTGTTTGCAGAAAACTTTTCTAGAAGACTCCTAAGTAAAGGATTACATGCTGAGAAATTCCAGAATTAAAGTCTGCAGGGATCAGGACCAGGAAACTGTGTCTACATGAACAGTACTGGTACATGGTACTTGCTACTCTGCTTCAGTATAATTCCATGAAGTTTCCAAAGTATCTATAACAGGGACAAAGGGGTTGTTAGATATTTTTTCTTTAAGGACAGCCTTCTGTCTGACACATGCTGTGTCTTCACATCTCTTCACTGATGATTTACAAAGAAGAAACACAAGTTTGCTCAATAGCAATGTTCTGAACTCCATCCACAATTTGCTATATGACTAATCTGAGTAGTGCACTGTGACTCTACAACCCAACAAAGCAAGAAACTGCTATTTCAGAATATACCCTGCAGGACTGCCATTCCAGAGCACATACACTTCAGTTTATTTCACTTTCCTTGATACTGGAGTACTTTGTGGTTTTAAATCAGTTTGGTCTGAGGTGACATGAGATAGTTGTCTTGAGGATGGATGTTTGTCAAAGGTGGTGACTAACCAGTAGATATTCACATGCTACTGGTGCTTCTCTTGGAGCTGATACCAAAGCTCACTCAGTAGCAGTGTCTGGGCAACTGCTATTCTCCAGACATCTGAGAGTCAGACATAGGATCATAGAGTCAGTCCTAGGATCTTGTCACAGTAGATGAAGAGAAATAAATGTCACACTAATGTAAGCATTCAGGTTAGCCTGGTGAATATACTATTTAGAGCTGACAAATCCTCTTCAATAACAAAAAAGGGAGCCAAAGAAGACAAATCCTGACACCAGTGTTTGTCTACTGGCAGGACAAAAAAAAGCCCCTCTGCATCTCCGGGAAAAAAAAATTAAAAAAAAATCACTGATTGCAAGAAGTCCTTTACTGGCTGCTCCAAGTCTACTTATTTCTCTTTTACTTTGTGATAATCACTATTCTCTGACAGGCCAAGCATAATAATGTATTTAAGCCCCCTGCTTTTTTTAAATTTTGAATTCTTAATGCTTTTTAATTCATTCTTTGCTTCTCCTACTATCACCAGGAATTAAACTCACAAGAATCCCATTAAAATAGAACTGTTGTGATTTAGCATTGGATTCTCTTTTTCTCATTATTTTGATGAGCTTTCAATAAGACACATCACTGATTTTAGTGGGAGCAGCAGCTGCTTTTCAGTAACTTTTTTTTTCTCTTTTAAACTCTTGAAGGTGAATACTAAGAAACTTAATGTAAACTTCTATTTTTGGAACTTGACTTTTCTTCTGCAACGCACATGCAGGGGCTTAAAAAAATCAGTTAAAATTGATTCACATGGACATTCTTAATTAAATATGTTACAGGATATTAGCTTTACTCACAATTAAACAGTTGTAAAAAAAGAGGTTCTATTCAGAAATCTGTCGCGGAATGCAGCAACATTTGGGTACTTCACTATGATTAAAAGCTAGGAAAGTCTCACTACTAAATCACCAAGATTAAAAGTTTTCTAGAGAATTCACTACATAGTGGAGTCTTGTGTTTGGTTTTTGTTCTTTTTTTTTGTCATGGAACACATTTTATATACTACTATCTGTTAAAGTATCTATATTTTTCCAATTTTTTTTCCCTGGAAGAGTGTCATAATATGTTGGAAAAATGACAGATTAAATTTGTGTTTTTTAAAAAAAATCCTTTAACTAGTTTATGGCAAGTTGATGATGCAGTTGACATAGTAACTAGGGTCACTATTACTCACCATTAATAAAGCTCTATCTTCTATTTTCATATTTAGTGCAACTTAACAGGCCTGTGTATGTTCTTCAATCGCTTCATTAAATATTATCGTACACATACGCTGAGGAGTATGTTTCAAAGACAGTTTTACCTAATGTGAAGGCTTCTGATTTCCATAGTTTGTTGTTATGGGTTTTTTCCTCAAATAAAAATATAAGCAAAACTTCACTGGTTTTGCTTAAAAATTTAGTAGTGAGAAATTACAATTTTCTAGCTCAGATTGGATTCTGAATCCTATCACTAAAAAATAAGTTGGAAAACAGCTATATTTAAAGTGCTAAAAAGAAAAACAGGGCGAAGACATTTAGGTGCTGCTTAACTGGTAAAAAGTCAAAAGGTAATTTAATAGAATTGAAATGTGACTTTCTGCTTTTTGCAGATAAAATGTAGACACATATAGACTGTGAGTTCAAATTATTTTAGGTAGATAACCATATAATATGTAACTCTGCCAAGGGCAGGATCTGTGGTATTGTACGACTCACTGGGTCTTTCAAAATAGCTCATTTCTATCTGTTATCTTTAAAGAGTGTAGAGGGAAATTACCATGTGATGTAGGCAATTCAGTAGGTGTCTGCTGCAATAATAATCTGTGGTGCAAAATGACTCAACCTTTCCATGATCAGTATTTCCTGTGATTCCAGAGATCATCTTTACCTCTTTCTAGGAAAGCATACTGGTTGCTAAATACTTATTTGAACATTGTTTTGTGGAAGCAATGGAAAGAGGTGTTCGGGGTGTTCCTGAGTCTGGGGTCCTGCAGACAGGGGTACCACCTGCCTGCAGAGTCTGTTCCTGGGGCAAGCAGATAGTCAGAGCACTTCCTCACACCGAACAACAGCTCAGCAAGCTCTTCAGCATCATCCCCAAGACATATCTGGAAAAGTACTATTACCTAATTTGATTTGGAAAAAAAAGCTGAGGAAGCGAACAATGTATATCTTTTTCCATATGTCAGAGTCTGAAGGTTCATTCTATTTACATAGCTTGTTTCTTTTTTTTTTTTTTTTTTTTTCTCAATTTAACTATTTTGTTTAGCCTGTAGAGCATTTAAAAACCAAAACAAACACTTCTTTCTTTTTTTTTTTTGGCTGCACTCAAGGTGCTCTTGCTTTAATGCCAAGTATGTAATTTGTGTATGTGTGTGCATGTGGATTATAACTTACTGTAGGATCTTTGCCAGCCATTTTGCACTCTTCAACCTTGTTTCCTGAAGCTGGCCAGAAAATCTGAAAGGAAAGAAATATCTTTTAAGGAAGATATTTATTACATAATTACTTTTTTAATGACAACCAAAAAGCATTTAACTGCCTAATTTACATTAGTAAGTTTAATATTTTTATACCTTTTACACCTTGATTATAAAACATAAAAGAGTTTTCATTAATAAATGAAAGCAACTTTCTGTCCTAGCATGCAGTGAACAAAATAAAGGCGCAGGTCCTTGGTTGATATAAATGAATTTAATTAAATATGTTTAAGTTAATTTAATAAAAATATGTATGAGATATTTTGATCATCATTGTCTAATTTACTCTCAATTTTTACTTTTTTGCTTCTGAAACTTTTGCTTCTAGAAACTGTTCACACTAGAAACCAGGAGATTAAAATATTGAAATAAGGGTTCTTGTAAAAGATTTTCAGTTTTAATAGTAAAAGCTTGGATATTTTATGATAAAACCTGATTAAAATATTAAGATTTCAGGCTGATTTCTTGATTTCTTTCCAGGATATCTTGCACTACAGTATCCTGTCAAAAATCTCAATGTCTGAATGTTTATCTGATCTATATTCAAACTCTAAGGCTTCTTCCATTATTTATTTTGATTTGGAAATAGAAAAAGACATCCATTAGAAATCTCTCCCCAGAAATTCAGTAGGTGACAGAATCTGATAATATTTAGCCTCAAGTTAACATAAATAATAGCATAAAAATAGCTCTGTATATATAAAAACATACATGTATATGCAGATATTTGTAGTATGTATGCATATGTACATGAGGCTCCTATACAGGCAAGATTAGCAAAGTGAGTAAGATTAGCAAAGTGAATCTGTTCTAAAAATAAATAAACAAGGGAAAGACCATGTGGAATTGCAGAGATTAATTCTTAAACAAATACTGTGTGACCATATTCACTGCCAGAAAACTTCAGGTGTTTTGATTTTATTTTTTTTTTTTAATTCTTCTTTTTCCAGGTTTAAATAGACTGTCAAAATGCCTCACAGCTTTTTACTACAGAGAAAAATGCCATGCAACAGAGGCTTTTCTATCCACCTGAGCTCTGCACAGAATCAAAAGCACCCAGCTCAGGGAAGGCTGGAGCACACCATTCGGGAGCACAGCAGCTCCCAGACCAGGGTGGCCAGGTTACTAGTGAGATGGGAATTAGCAGAGGTCACCAAGCTATTTCAGACCAGAGAAGGTGACCCCATTTCAGATGGAGATTTCTGTACCATTAGGAGGAGGAAGGGTGAGTTCACACCAGAGGAGAGGCATTTCATTTAAATGTGTAAATTAGAGTTAGCCTCCCCTGCCTCCCCACACAATCAATTCAGGTAGACAGGCATGTCCAGAGGGTGATTCAGAGCAAAGCCTAATTTAACTGCTCTTAATCACTCTCCAGCGGGGCCTCTCTCTCCTTCTCCTGACACATTAAAAGCCTTGCCTCTTAAGGAAGGCATTTAACTGCTGTAAACTCGATAGCTCTTGATACTCCTGAGGTACATAACAAAGCCCATAGATTAAAGGATTGGATGAATTTGGTAGAACAAGACCTTTATGGTACGGTTCAAGTTAGTTTTGTAGCTGTGATAATCTAAAGATAGGCAAGGCAAAGTCTGTAGAGAAGTTATATCTTAACAGTCAGACTTCAGGCACACGTACTTCTGCACGCCACCTATTTCAAAAGCAAAGAAGCTGGACTTGAACTGGCTCTGGAAACAAAAAAGGTATCTATGAAAGTGGTTTAAACATTTGATAATTTGATTCTTCTCATGTGCAGGATGCCTACTACAGTTTGGGGAGGTGGGACACAGAGAGTCCTTAGAAAATCGCATCTCAGTAAGTGAGAGGAGCCAGAAAAGAGGTGGAATCAAGAGGGATGTGAGGGTCATGGTGTTCAAAACCCCAAACTGGAGGTGTCCCAGCTACCCAACTGAAGGACAAAGGCTGACACAGACATAACAAAGACCGGAAAACAGCCCAGTGATTAGGCTTCAGAGTACAAAACAAAAAATAAATATAGTTAAAGGTTAAATGCAACTTCGTCCCTGTAGTTTTTTCCTTATTCTTCCTCACAGGCTTCTTCTAAAAGTGTATGTCTCAATTATTTTCAATCTTGGAGAAGAGTGGAATCCACCAACCCATACAAATTTTCCTTATGAGGCCAAGCCATGCTGAATGCCACTTCAAAAGGAGTAAACAGGTCAGTTTTTAAACAGTGTTTGAGGAACAGTCATACTAATTGCTTGTTCAACTTGCATGACACTTAACACCAGTGCAAACAGTTAAAAAACGTGCCAGCCTGGACTTTTGTCTGCTGCAAAATAATGAAACACACATTTTTCATCTTAAAAAGAAAGGCATTAGAGTAAAGAAACCTTGGATTCTCAAAATAAATCTTAAACTTACACTGAGAGGGTCCTGGCTTATATTATTAATATTCAAAGACAGAATATGATCTTTGCTGCCCACATAGATCCGATCCTGATCTTCATCCATGAATAATATCCTGTAATCCAGGGGACTGTGGGATATTCTGTGATATTCGGAGGTCTTAGTTTCTTGCAACTCTGAAATAGTACAGACAACAAGTGAGTAAAGTGGTTCAGTTGCCTTTCTTGCTTCACAAGTGCATTTATTTCTAAATAAATAAAGGCATCTTGTGGGCTCACTAAAAGAAGAAAAACCCTCATCAGACTTGGTAATAATGCAATTATTGAGTTAAGACAAATTTTCTGTTTCCAGTTGAAATGGAAATTTTTGTACATTAAGATGTATCATAAAAACCAGTATGGCTGTTATTCATTAATCTAACTAATTCTGATTTTAATGAATATGATTATTTACACCTTTGGCTTTTAAGGAAGTTCATATATTAAATTAATCAATGTGTTCAATACACTTTGACATTTATGACAGCAAAATTCCACAAGATCAATGAAAACCACATAAAAAGAGTTTAATTTTTTTTTCATATCTCAGGCTTCAATAAGAATAGACTTTTTAGAATTTCCAAGGTCAATTTTTCTTTTAGTTATTCATCACTATGTACAGCTTATTTAAAAGAAAAAAATGTATTTAGTCAAGCCTAAATATGTCAATTTATTCAGTCATTGCTTTATGGGATTTCGACCAAACTATCAGAACTATAGAGCTAGCTCTGTTTTTCCACATAAAACTTTCTTCAATGAAGTGAAGTAAAAGAATACTTTGATCTCAGCAGTGCTGGATCAGGCCTGTAACAGGAATAGCACAAGCATCTGCAATATAAGTACTATTTGCTGTCCTTGAGAAAGCTCAGCCTTCCTGTCTTTGCTTGGCCAATATGTTTTGGCCCCCACTCAGATTATTTTTCTTTTCAGTAATAATAAAAGGGGTATTTCTTAAGAGATGAGAATGGAAAAACAAAACTTTAATAATCAATTTCTCCTTACTCAAATATTTAGCATATAATCATGTTTTCTTACCTCATGAGCATTATTATTGGATTATGTTCCCTGTGAATCTAAAAGGGTGGCAAAGACACAGTACATATGAAAAGCCCTGCTATAATGTTTCATAAATCTAAGAACTGAGTCCACATCCCTTATGCAAACTGGGACAACATGGCTATTGCTAAAGCCTAGTTTTTGCTAACAGCAGTTTTTGCTCATTAGCTCCCTATAGAAAGCAGTAGATTCTTATAAAAAATTACCACCTATGCCTTTTAAAAAGACTAGATAAATGTGGGCTAATTATATTTTGGAAAAGAAAACACCCAAACCAAAAATATTTCTGGATGTTTGCTCTGCTGAGGGGAAAAAAAAATTAAGTAAAATAAAAAATTAAAAAAAAAAATAAATAAAAGGTGTGCCTAAGCTATACATATTTAGCTGGAAGCATAATTTTTTCTTTGAAAGTTACTTGGAGAACAGTTTTTGACAAGCTGTAGCCAACATACAGGGAAAGGCTGCAGTCTTCGGACTTGCACCTGCCCACCAGAAATCTAAAGATTGGAAGAATGTTTAATAGACTATGATTTGCATTGGTAAATACAATACACAACTCCACCTCATTTAAATTATGATCACTAAATAGTTTAAAGGAAGATGGAAAATAGCTTCAGTTACTGAAAGATACAATGTTTTGATTCATTTAGATGGGTGACAGCTTTCAAGAGCTAAAGGTTGCCTCTATGCATCTATTTATGGTAATATTAAAAAATAACAAATTATATTTCAATTTCATATGTCCCTCAACAAACGACAAACATACAATTAAGATTTACAGCCTAAGACAAGAAGCTTAAATTGAAACAATACTCATAAAATATATATGTAAATTTTCTACATCATTTTCAGACGACTCCCCTTGGTGCTTGAAAAATCAATTGGTTTACTTTATTTTTAAAAATCTTCCCTGTAAGCTTTTAGCTAGGGTTTTCAAAGGCTCTTGAGAGACTCACTAGCATAGTGTCATTAAAATGCAGTGCCTTTGCTCTCTGAAATTCTCTGACTGACCTTTCATAGCAAGCCTGAGAAGCTAGAGCTCTTCCCTTTTCCTGGTGGCCTTATTAACTTTACTGTAATATTTGGCAACTGTCAGGTGAAACTTAACCTTCCCATTACTGTATATTTGATATCTTAGGAAAGCACATATAAACTGGGAGAGGCAGCAGTTTCCTGCACAACACAGGGCAAGTGCGAGCACAGTGACTGCTCAAGATAATGTCCCGTCTTTTGCTTCAGTCACTGACAATGAAAGACAACTCATAAACCATGATTGACATAAACACGATCAAGATCATGATGATTGTTTTTAAGCAAAAGACAAAAACTGAGATATTTGATTTCTGCAACTTTTCTATATTAGAATCCATTATTTTCCTGGATTCCTAACATCTTAGCAATGATAGTATTCTTTCTAAGACACCTGATGGATAATCTCTCTCTACCAAACTGCTGCTGAGGAAAATACCTTATGACTTGCCATTGGACTATAGAAAATCAATGCCTTTTGGAAGAGGAAAGGAAAACCCTGAGACAAATACTTCTACCCAGATTTACTAATTTTGTTTCTCTCCATGCTGAAGCTTACAGTTTATTAGCCTCTAGAGGCTACAGGGAGGGAATTTATAATTAATCACATTTCCTTTTCATTCAATAAAAATTACAACACAATCACCCATGAAAATTTGATTTTTAAAGATTTACTGCGTGTAGTTACTTGCAAAGAGCAGTGGCTAGAAAGATGCTTTTCATCTCATTTTTTAAATATATATATATATATATATATAATCATATGAACATTTACTGACCTTCAAAGCAAATTTTGTTCCACACTTTGGGAATTTAACCAAACATTCAAGGCAGTATAACCTGTATGGAGCATAATGCTGTGGACAGCTCTCTATGAATATTAACTTCTTTTTTTTTTTTTTCAATAAAAATATAATAATATATTCCATATGAATATAGCTGTCATCCTTAATGATACAAGAATAATCTTTGTTTGTCCTTTTTTCATCAGTCAGCAAATTTAAGTTCAGGTTTCCTCAGTGATAAAGCAAATAAACTTGACAAACTTGATTTCTAGCATTAGAAATCTGATCTTAAAGGACAGGTTATATAGCCCTTGTCCCTTTTGATGAAAAACAAAAGCTTCAGTGAACTCTCTCCCCAGAACTGTTATTATTATTATTATTCAACCAGACATTTTGTAATTTTGTCCAAATGACAGGGAGCTTTCTCCGTACACAACTTACTGTCAAATAGGCAGTTTAACAGCTACTCTTTAATTATCCTTCTAATTCACCACAAAAGTTAATGCAACTGTTACTTTTTAAAAGTTATGTTCTCACAGAAGAAAAAACCAAAATATTTCTGTAATATCCATTATTAACACCACAGAAACCTTGTTCACTCAGAACTCAATGAGCTAGCCAAAACAAAACAAATTACATCTATTAGAGACTGCAAATCCAAGAAGGTGGAGACATCTCCACCCATTGAGAAACAGCCTGTTATACCCAAATTGTCCAACCTCAATACAGGTATATGAGCTAGATCAATATATCAGGTTGTTACTGAAAGGTTCAAGAAACTATATTGCAGAGTTTGGTTAAGTTACAGCCATGGTATGTACAAGCATCCCCAGCTCAGCTTCAAAGCACTGAGTTCATCCACAGATAAGATGTGGATAAACTATGGAACATGAAAGGGTGTACTCGGTTGTCTCTGTTCTATACCATTCCCGAGTTTTCCTGGCACGGCTTCCTTGAGAAAATACAGGGTGATCTTTCAAGCTTTTAATTTAGGATTCCTTGTGGTACAGTACAAGAAATCATATATTTTCCTTCTCTTTCCTGCTGGCATAAGGATTCAGTCTCAGAATGCTGTTTTTATGGGGAAGTTCAGAGCAGAAGCAGAGATTTGGTGTATGTGCCTCCAAAAAAGCAGGGAGCAAAGCACAGCAACCCAGTTCTACACACACACCACAATGAAGGGGTCAGACATAGCTTGCCAGAAAGATGGTCTGCATCTCCTCAGGGAACCTCTGGTGCCCAGATTGGCATGGATTTTCTGTAGCCTTAGCAATTTGGTAGTCAGCAATACAATGATGTTTTCTTTTATTCCCTCATGGAGTATGGGGTGCTCAAACAACAGGCCTCATGTAAGCCTAGCAGTGGGACAACATCAACTTCTAGGAGGAGGCTGTAAGATTCTCTTAAGCCTCATTAAACCTTTAGTTTGTGCCAACAAATATGCCAGCTCATGCCAAATGTGAAACTGCAATGTCAAATCTCACCTTCTAGGAACTGTAATTAAACTTTTTTTATTATTATTATTATTTTTCCCCCTAGAAATAAATGTTTAAGTAGAATGATATTTTTTGCTCATAGTATGAAATGGAAATGGCACCCTTTTGCTCACAGGACACTTCTGAACGGGTGAAAAAGTAATCTGCATATATACATTTAGACAGACTGTACATAATCCTGCTAGCACTGAAAGGACTGGTTAAAAATGGGAGAGGAATCAGAAATGTCTGCAAATTTATAAAAAAGAATTTAAAAAATGCTTCAGCTAAAAGAAGAGCCCTGTTTTATTTTAGTTTAAGGGTTTCCTTGCTACTTTGTATCGACTAACTTCTCTGATTTGTACCTTATTAGTAGAAATTACTGGAAAAGATCTAATTGAAAGGTATACATTTTCTTAAGAATCTAATAATTTTAGCCATTGCTTTCTTATTCTTTAATGTAAATACATAGAAGAAATAAATGTATTATTTTTATAGTCTATATACTACCTATGGAAAAAGTATGCTATTTATAATATTGCTTTTCAACTACGTAGGGATACAGTGTGACTGTTTAATTTTATGTATGGAAAGAGAAGAAGGAAAGTCTGACTATTTCCTCTCAAAACTTCAGAATAAGTCACTTTTGCACTGTCAATACTCCTTTTCTTTGAAGGAACCTGTATTGATTCCTTCTACTTAAGGGGATGAGTTAGGAGAGCAGTTAAAGCAATTTGCCAGTGCTCATGCAGTGTTCAAACTCAAGCCCAACCTTCAGCCAGCTCTCAAGTGA